TAGTCATTAATACTCTAATAGTATTATTAGCTATCTTATGATTATTTATTATCATTAATTTTGTAATTAGTTCTTCATTATAAATTGAGATCTTCTTCGAACTTGATGCACAAATAGATAGAATAGCAGCAAATAGCATCTTTCTAGCCTGCATATTCGTGGAACTCAATCTCATTTAGAAAGCCTGATCTCTATCTTTCAGCAACTGAACGGGAAGTGGTTTAAGAATAAGAAAGGACTTTAGAATCGGATGCGCTCGCCCAGCGAGAAAGGCCCTGACCCTGCCAACCAAGTATCAAAAAGAAAGAAGAGAAAGAAAGGAGAAGAGAACTTCGTATTTTGGTAACTCTCTAGGAGTCATCTTTAACCTTGAATGCTATTAATAGATTCTACAGCAATAGTCCCTCGGACTCGGAAAGTAATAACGAAAATAGCTAACCCAATAGCAGATTCCGCAGCTGCCACCGTTGGAACCAATGAAGCAAATGATTGACCCATCATATCATCCGAAGAAACAGAAAATACCAAAAAGTTCGAATTCACAGCTAATAACATTGATTCAATTGGCATTGACATAATAGGAATATTTCGTCTATTAAGGAGGATTCCCCGAATACCTGAAATAGAGATAATCATAGAAAATGTGAAATATTTGATAGGATCCATTTCGGGAACGTAGAATGTAAGAGAAATTCAAATGTGAAACAATACGTCAGCTCTTCTACTTGAAATATCCTTCAATTATTGAAGAAATATGATTTTTTATACTCATGTTTCCCTTCCCATCCTGCTCCGCCGAGTGTTGCGCTCGGGTTAACCAAGCCCTCAAGTGCCGTAAATTAGCCCTGGGGACATTGGGTTTGTTGGCATTATAGGCAGCTTTGCTGCCGAAGCGGTCAATAATGATTTCCACCATTTCACTTGGTGATGGAAGTTCATCCAAGTTGCGGTGCCACTTCCTTCGAACAAGGCGTGCCTTCTCTGATTCAATCAGGGGGCTAATCTGTTCGGCCAAGAGATCTTTTTGTTCTTTAATCTTTGCCAATTCAAGTTGATCCAAGGCTCTTTCGATCTCGGACCGATCCCCTGGCTCTTCTTCAGCCGNCCATTTGAAAGCATGCCCGTAAGGTAGGAAGACATGTATGTTGGTAAAGACATTTTATATTTAAGACTTGTATTGGGTCTAGGAAGTTTGGTTTGCTGTGTCTACTATATTATTAGATGTATTTTATAAAAGTTGGTACAAGAAACTACATCTGCAATACTCTTGTTTGGTCTTAGAAAATAGCTTTTGCCTTTTCTCTTGTTGTCTGTTAATAGGGCTTGACTTGTTTAGGAGACATAAGTTGGTAATAGCATATGATTCATTATTATTTTAAGTCATGAAGTTGAATATAATTAGGTACACATGTTTAGATTTTGTAGCTAGTTTCGTTGTTGCTTAAAATTTGTGCTAAATGTAGTAGTATTATTTCAAAGAATCAAAAACCTTTTGAATTTGAGTATATAGCTTTCACACAGGTCAAATAACTATTTTAACATAGATTAAATCTTCTATCCGTATGTTTAGTAGCCTTTCTTTAGGAGTTCGTTGAAAACTACAAGTTTCTATTAGTTGTTCTTTTTAAAAAAATATTGTGTGCAGTCCTTTTCATATTTCTGGATCTGGTTGTGTGTATTTTATCATACAGTTAAATATGAAACTGACTCCACTAATCTTTGTTCTCATATTTTCTTTTGCTTACATGTACACTTTGGGAGCAACTTTTTGAGTCTCAATGCGAGACTCGTTGTCACCATGAAGCCACCACTGCTGCATTTCCTTTATCGTTTCGCCCTTTCGTAGACTTGACCATTTGGGGATGTAGAAAAACAGTAAAAATGCCAAGTTAATTTTGGTTCCCCCTGGATAGGGGGGTTAATTTTTCATTACTATCCTGTTCCCATTTCCTATTAACTCCAGTTTGGTTTCATGTTTAGCTTCTTTAGCTCATGACTTACTTTTGCATGTTATTTTGGTTATTGCTTTAGCTAAAGTTAATCCAGTAATTATATCCCAATTTGTAGATTTGTAATAAGCTTTTTTAAAAAAAATCCATTATACTAGAATACTTTAAGTATATCTGGGCGGTAAGTCACTTAGATTAATGCAACTAAGTCAGAGTTTGAAAATTTCTTTTACTTTGAGAACGCGACTTTGCGGTTTTATAATATGATATGTTAAGTATTCAATTAAGCAAACTGATTTTGATTTCTTGGTATGTCCTTGGGTTAAAAAGTGTATTCTTCAGTAGTCAAGCCCTCTTAAAGTTCAAATTAGTATTTTCACTAAATCCATTTGGCCATTATCCTTTGATCAAAAACGGTACCTCACATTTTTTTTAAAACAAAAAAAAATAAATAAATACTGAAACTTTTTCATGTTTAAATCTCAAGTTAGTTTTTTTTTTAAAAACAGTCATTCACCTAGCTAATAAGTATTTACCTATAGATATGTTTAATACTTAGCCTTAATCAATTAACTTAAGTCCTATCGGTAAACCATTTTAATGTGGATCTTAAGGAGTGCCTTATACCTTCTCTTTAAGATTAATTGAACCCTTACCTTAGAATCTCTAACGTTTAGTAGACCATATACAGAGTTAATGTCAATAAAATATGTGTCCTAATTCACTTTTTAAATAATTAGGTGGCGACTCGTTAGTACTAATTAATTCAATAATCACCGATATGTTATACTCTAATTTAAACAAGTTAAAATGGGGTATAACAGCTTGGCGACTCTGCTGGGGAGATTTAGGTTCTAACCATAACGGACTTAGTTAATCAAAATTAAGGCTTGTGTGTTTATCTATTTTGGATTTATAAATTATTTTACATATTATAAACTACTTTTTTCGTATGATTGTTTATGTGTTCCCTCTTTTATATAACTGTCATTCCGTTTCACTTCCTCCACTTTTGAAAAATTCACACAATTCACACACCAAGCGGTTATGTGGTTTGCGGTCGTGCACTACTTAAAAAACCTTTTTAGGGGAAAGTTCGTGGGTAAGTCGATCAGCGGTGCAGTCGACAGTCACGAGCTTTCCATTCTCAAGTTGTCCATTTGAGAGCAGACCAGTCTAGAAAAACCCACTCCTAGTCAACCTAGGATAGAGCTAAGCCAAAACCTTTTGTAAGATTCATGCATCTTTAAGCCTAAGATACTTAATACCCTTGGTGTATTAAGTCCATTAGCCAGCCTTACCAAATGTCCGAATGGGTTTACGACCCTAAGTGACACTTTTCATAACTTATGTGCACAGTTTGAAGGATAAATATGTCAATTATGTGGACCGTTTTCTCTAAATTAATTAACTTATAGGGAGAGGGAATATTTATGACAGGTATAAAATCTCAAGTTCGCAAGAAGTGGTTGACATCATCAAATAGATTGAAGAAGTTTAGTTTACTTATATTAGAAAAGGATGTATATTGTATTTTCTTTCATTCTTCATCCTTCGTGTAAAAAAAAAAACTATCCTTGTACTTTACTTTCTTTGGGAATAAGATTAATTTATACAAGTTATAGAATGACACACGATGGCATAATTATCCTTCAAATTATCGTTAGGCCTACCTCGGCGCAATGAGGTCCTTTGCATCTTAGGACGCTATAATATATGTGCAATAATATGCTATGTGCAATAATATGCTTATTTTTATGCAAAATATGTTATTTCCACATACTAACTTGTTTTTTTTTCTTTTTTTTTCTTTTTTCCATTTTATTAAAAATTTATTTTCTTCAAAAAAAAAAATAAAAGGTTGACTTGTGCTAAAAAGGGGAACTGGCGGAACATCCATATTTCACGCGGTCTAGAAGCAAGAGATCAGTTGCATATTTACCACCAGTATCTCAGATGGCTGAAGGGAATCTTTCCAGTACAGATTTGAATTTGGTAGATGTGACTATTTCATCCGTTCCAACTCTCGCGCTACCTACAACAGATGGCCCTCGCCCCTCAAGAGACCCAGAAACACATTTTGAGGTCATTGCTCGTTTGGAACAAAAAGTTGCCGAACTAAGCTACATGGTACAACAAAACAGATTGTTTTCTCAAACTCCACCTCACATGACTCCTCCTCCTCATCGCATTCGCGAAAATATGCCTATACCACCCCCATTTCCAAACTTGGATGGACTTAACCGAGAAAATCAGTTCACCGCTCCTCAACCAATTCAAAATGTGCCACTCACTCACTCAGTCACTCAAAGTGCTCCCTTTCCGTCCACAGTCGCTCCTCCAAAGGTTCAATACACACAATTGACACATGATGTTACTAATACGCAACAAGTTTTACCAATATATACTTATGCCACAGTCCCACCTATGACACAAACACCAGGACCATGTCGGCTAGATGTGGATCATTATGTTGAAGCCGAAAAGGAGGCAAGAGCAGTTGATGATGAAATAATAAATAGGAAGCTCAAGAGTTTGGAAGATGCTATGAGAGGTCTACGAGGGTTTGGCACTAATCAAAGTGTGAAGTATGAAGAGTTATGTGCATTTCCTGAAGTAGAGTTGTCACCTGGTTACAAAATTCCAAAGTTTGAGAAGTTTGACGGATCGGGGAATCCTTTCTTCCACTTGAAGCTCTATTGTGAAAAGCTAATTGGCATGGGGCAGAACGAAGGGATAAGAATCAAATTATTCAATCAAAGTTTGAGTGGGAAAGCTTTAGAGTGGTACTCTAAACAAGATGTTACCAAATGGCATACTTGGGATGATTTGGCAAATGCTTTTGTTGATCATTACAAGTTTCATGTTGGGATTGCTCCGGACAGAATTACGATAACGGAATTGAAGAAGAAATCAACTGAATCTTTTCGGGAGTATGCTATAAGGTAGAGGGAAGAAGCATCAAGGGTACACCCACCAATGGAAGAGACAGAAATGATAACCCATTTCATTCGGGCGCAGGAACTTGAATATTATGAGCGAATGATCGTAATGGGCGGAAAAACATTTGCAGAGGTAATCAAAGCCGGAGAAATGATCGAAAATGGGATCAAGACTGGAAGAATAACAAGTCTAGCAGCATTACATGCCACTAGCAAGGCTATCCAAACTGGTGCCCTCGGGAGTGGAAAGAAAAAGGAGAAAGAAGTTGCGGCTGTAATGGCTTTGGGAGGTACTTCGTTTCACCAACGGCAACCTTCGCAATATCAATCAAACGCCCCTCATTCACAACATTTCCAATATTCCTCACACTCGCCTTACCAAACTTCATCATCTTACCAGCCTCAACCACCACAAAACTCATATCATGTTTTTAACACACAACCAACATACCAAGCTCCACCATCACAACAACCTCATCATCCCAACAATACACCCGGACTCCGTCCAAACAGGCCTGCTCGCAACTTCACACCATTAGGGGAGCCATTAAGTGTTGTCTTTGAAAGGTTGCAAGCTTCAGGTTTATTGTATCCTGTGGAAGGCAGAATTCCAAACCCATTACCTAGAAGTTTTGATCCTACCAAGACATGTGCATATCATTCTGGGGTAAAAGGACATTCAACTGACCGTTGTTATGCATTAAAACACAAGGTTGAAGACCTCATTGAGGCAAAACAAATCAAAATCAGACAACCAGCACCGAATGTGAACAACAATCCACTCCCGAATCATAATGAAGCCTCGGTGAATATGATTGGAGTGGATGAAGAAGATGATGATCCAGCTAGATTCATAGTGCATGTTAGGAGCATGGAAGATCATACATTTGTGGCTGTTACTTCTCCTACAGTGATGATAAGAGGCTTTACACCCATTGAGATACTAGGAGTTGCATCTACACCTGTGGAGGTACTTCAAGCGCCAATTCAGTTACCAGTGGTTGATACTAGAGCTGTACCGTGGAATTATCAACAGGTTGTGATGGAATGCCATGGAAAAGAAACAACCACTATTTCGGGAATGACGAGGTCTGGAAGATGCTACACTCCAGAAAAACTATCTGGGTTGAGACAAGGCAATGAATGCAATGTTCCACCCAAGAATGTTGTGACAGACGCAGAAGCACAAGAGTTTCTGAGAAAGATCAAGGCGAGTGAATACTCAGTTGTGGATCAATTGAAGAAGACCAATGCCCAGATCCCAATCCTATCTTTGCTTTTGACTTCGGACGTACACAGAGATGCACTCCTGAAGATTTTGAGTGAAGCATATGTGCCGACTGAAACAACTAGTGAAGCAATATCTGGAATGGTTGGATGTATACTTGATTGTCACCTAATCAGCTTTGATGATGAAGAATTGCCACCGGAGGGATATAGTCATAACAAGGCGCTCCACATAACTGTTAAGTATCGTGATATGTTCATATCTAGAGTGTTGATTGATGGAGGTTCCGAGTTAACGATTTG